ATTCCACTTCGTTCGATGGTTCTTTCCTTGAAAATCGAATTTCAACGCAGCATTGTGCCGCAGTGTATAACCGTAATGGTTTCCATTTGGCTGACAAATTATAGTTTTAAACATGAATTCTTGGGATATAATTTCTTCCAGTACGATGATCTGAAAGGCACAGAGATGAAACCGCAAAATTTTCATTTTTCGCTGATGTTACGGACCACCACAGAATTAAATCCCCTGTGTATTCATCATGGCACAGAATTTTGCAAAGATACACGTTTTGTTGGACCTTGTGATGACGAAGTGAAAGTTAGAAGCGTATGTGTGATTGATTGATATTTGTGCTTGATTGTATTTCAGCTTGAAAATCTCTTAGGGTACCTCCTCAGTTTCCAACGCAGGACAATGAGAGTCTTCGCCGGGATATTTCTGTACTAATTCAGTTCTGGCAAGCGTTGTACAATGACAAGAAATACTTAAGTGCGGATCGGATCAGTCCCTTCGGTAGCTGTACTTTTGTTAATTGATTGGCTAATGTTCAAGTAATTTCGTGTCCGTTTTTTCCAGAGCTAAAAATTCCTAGTCGTTTGAATTCAAAATCGCAATCATCCAGAGCTTCGAACCTGTCTTCGCCGAGTTCTCTTTCCTCGTCGAAGAGGAGCTACCTCACGTACCACAGCGGCACACAGTACTCAAACTACTGGGCCAATACACTGACTTTAGCAAGCCGGCAAAAGCACGTTTCTTGTCAGAATGTGTCTGGTACGTTGACGCTATTATTTCTTGACTGATGTTTATTCGAATAGTGTATTTCTTTAGTAACAGTGATTGTAACTCATTTATTTTTTTATTGACAAGAATAATAGTAAATAATGTAGTGAATAAAAGAGGTCTTGCGCTGCAGGTCACATGGACATAGACCAGGTGTTGCTCAGTCGGTGGGGCGTCGAACTCAGAACCGAATGGTCCCACGTTCGAGACCCGGTTGGATGATTCGCCTTCCTTCCGAGATCGACAAATGAGTACCATTCTGTAGAAGGAAACAGGAGACTACGCATTGTTTACCACAGGGCAGCTGTTGACTCGGCCTTTGAAAGCACGCCTGGCCTGTGGCATAAAATAGAGATTAGCGCCCCCCCCCCACCCGTTG